GAGTGGGGCCGGTGGCCCCGGGGCGAGCGCCCACGGCACCGGGTGAGGCCAGCGCCTACCTCGGCGTTGCCGTAAGGCACCAGGGTGATGCTCAGGGCCTCGGCGGGCAGCAGCAGCCAGGCGGTGAAGAGCTCCTGGACCAGGAACCAGCGGCACGCTGGGCACAGGCTCTCGTAGTACAGGCTCAGCTGGACAGGGTCGGCCACCGGGCGCGAGAGGTTGGCGCAGCGGCTCTCTGCCTGCGTGCGGGGAAGGTTTTGGGGTGCGCAGGGGATGGGGGCGGGAGGGTACAGCTGCAGTCCTCTTCCCCCCCCCCCATGTTTGCAGGGAATGGGGTAAAGCTCCTGCGATGCGGGAGCAGGAGGGGGATGAGGGCGTGCAGGGCTGGGAGGGAAGTGAGAGCGGCCAGGGGCCTCCTGTGGCCTCAGGATCCTGTGCGCTGTTGACACGCAGCGCCGGGGCTTTCCACGGGAACTTCCCCAAAATATTTTGGGGGAAATCGTATCTGGTGGGGCCAGAACATGCCTGAGTGGGGGCACAGCCCAGCACCCACTGCCGGGTGGTGGCTGCAGCCCCACAGGGTGCTGCTGGACCCACTGGCGCAGCCATGTCACCATCCGGGGATGTTCAGGGCAGAATAAGCCGAAAAGCTCTTTTATGTTGAAAAAGCAGAAGTGCCAGCAGCGCCTGGGTTGGGGTCCGGCTGTAGCATGGCGCTTCCCCGGGGATGCCGGGGGGTGCCGTGGTGCCAGTGTGGCACAGGGGCTCTGAGCATCCCTGCGCATGCCAGCCTGTGCCGCAGGGATGCTCGGAGCAGGCACTTGCACCAGGTACCGCGGCCAGGTGATGCCCCAACGTCGTCCCCGCGCACCCCAGCCCCGCTCGCCGAGCAGGCACCCAGCCCCGCGTGTGCCCTTTCAGTGGGATGTGTCCCCCATGTGCTGTGGACTGCCAGCACCAGTGGGTGGCTGGGGCAGCCCTGGCACCAGTGGCTCTGACCTGGCAGGCGACGGCGATCTCCCGCGAGCTGCACCAGAGGTGGGCCGGGTAGTCACAGCCAGGAGAGGCCACCCCAAGCCCTGGGGCCAGCATGGCCACCAGCGCCAGGGGAGCCAGCAGCACTGCGGGGGCCATGGGGACGGTGGGGTGGCACGGAGGCGAACCCGTCCCCGTGAGGACTTTTAAAGCCTGGCTGCGCCCGCCTCCGTGCGCCCTTCCTGCTCAGCTCAACCGGCCTCCTCATGTGACGCCGACGCTGCTGACTCATGCGGGG